CGCCCCAAGACTTGGCATCGGACTCTCTCCTCGACATCATGGATACTAACGGGTTCACCCAACTCTGTACCGAGCCGACATACACTTCCCCCGCTGGTAGCCCATCTTACCTTGACCTCTGCTTCGTTTCCAACCCCACCCTTATCCGTGAATGTGTCGTGACGCTTGGCCTTAGTTCCTCTGACCATCGAGCCATCCTTCTAGACATGTTTGCATCATTCCCAACACGTGGTCCACACAGCAGGCTGGATCGATCTTACGCCAAACTTGACATGCAGCACCTCCAACGACTTGTGTCTCTCACCCCTTGGGAGATTGTGCTTTGTGAACCCACCATCAATGATATGTATGACCTCTACACTTCCCTAACGTGTGCCCTCACCTCCGGCACTGTCCCTGAGAAACGCTCCCGCCGCCGACACCACGCTCCTTGGATTACACGTGAGCTCATAACCCTGTCCCGACTGAAAGACAAGCTATTCCGCCGAGCGAAAAGAACCTGCCACGCCGACGACCTTCTGACTGCCAAACAACTCCAGCGCAGTCTCAAGAAACAGATTCGCGTGGCTCACCGGTTGTTTGTTGAGGACATTGCCGCAAGAGCAATTAGAGAACCAAAACTGTTCTGGGCCTACATAAACTCTCAACGCAAGCAATCGCAGTGCCCACGTTTTCTCATTGATGACACCATGGTTTCCTCACCGTCCTGCATCTCGGAAGCCTTCAACTGCCATTTTTCGTCGGTCTGGTCGACATACACAGTGTCGCCTGAGCCTATCCTGAGCCCCACTACCGCCATTCCCTCGGCTCCCAGCCTCTCCACTGTAACCATGAGTACTGAGGACGTCCTTGAGGCTGTCTCCCTCATACATCCCTCCCAAGGCCCTGGCCCCGATGGCATCCACCCACTGATTCTCAAGTGCACACTACAGAGTATGGCTCCTCTTCTGTGCCGTATGTTTCAGCGCATTATTGACACGGGCACGGCCCCTGATGCCTAGAAGCTTGCCCACGTCACACCCGTTTACAAAGGCCATGGCGCCCAAGCGAGTCTACTGTCTTCCTACCGTCCTATTGCGTCTACATCCATTGTCTGTCGCACTTTTGAGCGTATCCTTAATAAGAAGATCCGTTCCCATCTCGACGACAACAACCTTTTGTCACCTGCTCAACACGGCTTTCGCCAAAACCGCAGCTGTGAAACTGCACTGGGTGTCTTAGTACACACACTGAGTGCCCACCTGGATAACCGCACACCTTGTGAGCTTGTACAGCTCGACCTTTCTCGAGCCTTCGATCGTCTTCCACACCCCTCTGTCCTGGCCAGCGTTAACGCCAAGGGTATATCAGGCACTGTGCTCGCCTGGTTAGCATCTTTCCTGGATAACAGAATGCAGCGTGTTGTCTACCGTGGCGCCAAATCTGCTTCCAGTGTTGTCCGTGCTGGTGTACCCCAGGGGAGTGTGCTTGGGCCCACACTCTTCACCATGTTCATAGACAGCATCACTGATTCTTTACACTGCATCCCCATACTCTACGCAGATGACATCTCACTCTTGCAGCCAATCCGCAATCCTTCCGACTATGCATCCCTCCAGTCTGATCTCGACCAGTGCTACCAGTGGACGCAGCAGCACCAGCTGCCCATCAACACTCAAAAATCAACGACTATGACTGTAACTGGATTGTGTCGCCCTCGACAACCACCTCCACGGCTCACTGTTGGCCAAGTGGAGATCCGCAGGGTCTCCTCAAGTGTCATCCTGGGTGTAGAGTTTGATGAGCGCCTGTCATTCTCTCCTCACGTCCAACGCACTCTCGCCAAGTCTCGCCGTATGCTGGGCTTCATTACCCGCACCACGCTCAACATGCCTCCAAATGCATTCCGTAACCTCTACACAGCCCTCGTTCTCCCCATACTCGAGTACTGTTCGGTAATCTGGTTCCCCCATTCGGTACGCCTACAGTCGTGCCTCGCCAGTGTCCAGCGACGTGCAGCATACACATTTTATAGCCGCAGCACTCCTAGAGCCCGCCGCCTGCCCTATCGTCAGATTAGGACTGCTGTTCTTCTTCACCATGCGTCCTGGCAACCGCTTGCCTCCCGGATGCATGGCGCTTCCGTGCGCCTCCTTTGCAGACTTCTCAGCCCTGGCCACCAGCTGCTTATTGATGCGCCCCGCCTTTGTCACCGCACTGGCCGCCTGCAGCCGCTGCATACGCGGACTGAGCGTCACAAGTCTTCATGGCTACCACGTGCTGCTGCTTTGTGGCAACAGTTACCGCCGGACCTCACACGACTTTTCCCCCCTGAAGACGACAATATCTTGTCCCTGGTGAAGGCTGCCCAGCGCCTGCACTAGCCTTCAACTTGAACTCTATAACCTTGCGCATGTGTGCGCAGTTCCTGGGTCCCCAGGTTGGGTTGCAAGCCTCCCCGGCATGGGCAGCTATGCCTTTTTGCACCCCTGCATGCCTGGGATACCCTATCCAATCAATGCGAATAAAGTATTATTATTATTATTATTATTTTCCGAGACAGCGGTGACGAACGCTGTCGTTGAAAAGGGACTCTCATTGATTCTATCTCCTTGTTTTGTGTGATATAGAGCTCAAATAAACGCCATACGGATTACCTTCGCAACTCTGTATGTACACTCTGTTAGTAGTATGCCATTTTTATTCTGACTCGACGCTACGTCACTGTCGAGCTATAGCAGTTCGTGGGAGCTACGCGATGTCGGTCTAACCTTTCTTTGCCGAGTGTCATGTCAGTATCGAGTTGCAATCGTAAAAGATCGGTCCAGAAGCACTTACCGAAACGCGGTCTAACAAAGCGAATCCAGCACTTCGATCAAACGCGCGTGTCCGCTCCGAGTGTGAACAGGTATTTGCGTGGCTCTTGCTGACACCCTCGTTGTTCAAACATATCCTTTTTAACGTCGGCTCGCAGCTCGCGACTCGCAGCAACTAATACCGGCCGAGCCAGAAGCATGCTCGGGTCGTGTCGGGCAAAGAGCCGCTACGAGAACGAGCTCACTGTGGCCAACTACGCTTTGGCTTTCTCCGCCAAGGCTTTGCAAACGCGTTCAGGCCTAGGCGAATTCTGCCGGCACGCCGTATTGCCGCAGAACGGCGCTGCTATTATGCCACAAGTGATGTCACGAGAACTTCCCCCCATCCACCAGATGAGAATCTGAAATCGTTTAATTATGTTTAAAATTAGTTCTCCTGTGTTTTACAGCGCAATATTTATATTTCCGAGGTGGTGCCTGTCCCTAGCCCATATTTATGCAACAAGATCGGCGCTAAACTTTCGTTTCACTACCCCTTTAATGAGTAAATTCAAAATAATATATTTTGAATTCATAATGAGTAAACTCAATTGCATTAATAATGAGTGAATTCGAAAGACTACCAATTGCATTTCTAATGAGCAAACCAAATTTCATTCTTAATGAGCATATTCAAAAAAAGTTCTTAATGACCAAACTCAACTGCATTCCTAATAAGTAAATTCAATAGAATCGATATTAAGTTTCTAATGATCAAATTCAATTGCATTCCTAATGAGTAATGTCAATAGAATCGATATTGAGTTTTATCAGTCTCAATTGCATTCCTAATGAGTAAATTCAATAGAATCGATATTGAGTTTCTAATGATCAAACTCATTAGACCTTGAGTTTATACTGAGTTTTATTGACTCTATAGGAACACAATAGAAAGTCAATTGAAACTCATTAATAATTTTTGTAAGAAATTGATCAATTTTTTTTTTTTTTTTTTTTTTTGGCGTTCGATTTGAATGTTGCGCGAAAAAAAGCGATGGAAGTCCGACCCCGAGTTCTGGCCCGGCTCACAATGACGCTTAGAAGAGTGACATATCCGTTTCAATCGCATCGTCTTTTTTGTCGCCTGCGCACCCACTAAGGACACATTGCCAAGATATTAACGACATAATTGAAACACGACGTCACTTTGAAAAAAATCGAACAATGTCTTTAAAAAAGCACTACCTCTTTCGAAATGTTTGAAATTGGTATGGCCTCTTAGTAACTGCCGTCAATATTGCAATTTCAACATAACATCTAAAACCATCAAAGGAAAAGTTAATTAAGAGAGTTTAGTTAATTAGCCAACTTGCCGTGAAAATAGGACGCTCGTTTCGTGTCCACCGAGTCTGATAATTGCATGGTGAAGACAGTACTCCTCTAACTCCCACCCCCAAGCTTGGCGCAGTATGGCCATAGTAGCTTTGCGCCATAAAGCCCGTAATCAACAACAACAACAACTCCCACCCCTATTAAAAAAAAAAGATTGTTTGGGATAAATATTACTTATATAAAACCCTGCCTAAACATAATACGAATGTTGGCAATACTGCATTTGCTGTTCAGAAGGCTAATATAGGGTTTTCAGTACCTCGTATACTAGGGGATGAAAGTCCTGCGCGTTTGCAATGGCGTTGCGTGTTCCGCACTGCGCGTGCGCAGAACCCACGACTGCGATCTTGGATTGGCGGATAGCGACGACGCGCATGCGCAGGATGGAACACGCAACGCTAACGAAAATGCAAAGCGCTTGCGTTCGTTATACGCAATACTAAGACTCTCTAATAGAGTATCAGATTCGTTGGGGTCATTGACCCCTGTATGCATTATTGAGGTAGAGCTGATATGTTCGACCTGTTTCGTTTATTACAAACCAAGGCCCGGACGCGTAAATGAGCCGGGTGTGTCATAAACGCTGCCGCACTTGAAATACCCGATAGCCTCTTCGGGTTGTTGCTAGCGAATTAGTTGGGAAAGTAAATAGACGGACATAGCCGCCTGTCGCTGCCTCCAACCTCATGGGGCTTCAATCTGGACACTAGGCGAAAAGTACGCGAGGACTTGGACGGCGGTGCGCTTGACCTTGACACCGACGAATCACAGCCACCGGATTCCTAGCAGACTTTTTCGCCGAATGTCTGCAGGTTTGCTCGATCCCATCCATACCTTCAGCGCCCCGGGTGTTGTCGAACTCGGCGCGGAAGGCAGTGTCCAGCAGCCAGTGTCGCTGCACCCGGAATCCCTGGTTCTCGAGGAACTCCGTGAGGCGCTCGTGGGCCTTGAACTCCTTCAGGGCCAGCTCGGGGTTCCGCCAGAGGTAGTCGCTTAGGGCGTGCAGTTCAACCCGCCTGCTGTCCACGGCCTTCTCGACGAGCGCTTCGAACGAATCCATCGCAGCACCGCTTGACATATTCTGACGCTGCGGCCGTACTGCCTCGCGGAGTCGATGTGACAGACGGCCTCGGCAAGTGCTGATGCCCCCGCGGCTTTCGTCACGCTTTAGCGCCGCCAACCGCCGCCACGCTTCGGCGCAAGGCCGATTATCTCGCGTTCCGAGATCCAGCTCACGCTTATCACACTGCGGACGTAGATTCTTTATTCTAGTTTTTCTTTTTTCGCGCTCGTCCGACGTTTTCTTCCGTCATTTCTTGGGGGGATTTGAGTCGCACAGTGTTGTTTTCAGGGTTCTTATTTCTTGACAGTTCCTGGCTAGTGGGGTTTAGGATGATGACTGGTACATGTGGGCCGTAAACAGGAGACCACTGGAATACAGATTTAATTGGATCGGGCCCCGGCGTTCGTCTGCTCGCGCTCCAACCTGGCCCCCCGCGCTCGGTGCACAAGCTACTCGGGTGGCCACGAGCTGATAAGCGCCAGTCTGTCAGTCGGTATAAAACACCTCCGACTAGTTGTGGTGCCCATAGAGTTGCACAGGTCCTTGAATTCTGCTAGGCCGGTGGATACCTGGAGCCGGACCGGTGTCAGCCGTCGAAGACGCTAATACTAGTTCCCAAGGCAAAGTCGTTGGCTTGTCGCCAGCTCTCGGATATGGACTGTTTGGTTGAGCCTGACTGTCGGAGCTGAGTGATGGTGCCTGCGTTAGAGCAGATCTGTCCACCTCAATGTCCCGGGCAATAGGCCACGTGTCCGGTTTTTGTCGCACATCAGTCTTGTCCGTCGCTTTCATATATGGTTGCGATGTCGACGCGCCAGACCTTGATCAATGAGCGTAAGCCCATCTTACGTTCCACCACTCCTGCAGTCCAACCTTGACTGCTTGGAAACTTCTTAGTCAAAGCCGCCTGTCCTACGCTCAGCATATGCCCAAGTTAGTAGAACCGGCCGTTCTTTCAGATTCTTTAGAGAAGGTAGAGGAATCGGCCGTCCTCACAGGTTCTTCAAACACAACCAATTTTAGTCGCTCACACGCTGATGGCAGTTCCCTTCCATACATCACCCAAGCTGGAATTTTGCATGTTGCAACGTGAATGGAGGTATGTTGTTTGAATAAAAACCATGCCAGCGCATCACCTTAGTTCTTCCTTCCCTCTCTCGGCGAGAGAGATTTTTCGCTCTTGTACCATGCGCTCTGCCTGACCATTGGTGGCAAAACGGTACGGTGCACCTGGCACCGTTATGATGCCATTGTTTCGGTAAAATGTTTTAATTCGCTTGGACACCAGCGCTGCGCCTTTGTCAGACACTACTTTCCTTGGCAGGCCGAATTTCGCCAAAATGACCCATAATTCTCTAATGACTTCGGTCGAGGTCACGTTGCCGACAACACCCACTTCTAGCAATTCGGTAAAAGCGTCCACAACAACTAGGAAGACCTGACCATTGACCGAAACCTACAAAGTTTATATGAAGGGTGTCACATGGTTCTGATGTCCTATATTCCACACGGGGATAGGTTCTTTCGGATATTGCAATCGCTGCCTTTGACAGGTGTTGCATTCTGAAACTGCTATCTCAATATTCCTGTCTGTTCCGGGCCACCAAAACATAGTTCCGAGCGCATGCTTTCATTGCCACAATCCCGCGATGTACAGAGTGTGTCAGAGCCATCGCGTTTTTCCTCAGTTTTGTAGGAATCACGATTCGTGCTACCCAACTTACACATCCCCTGTGTGTCGACAGCTCTGCCACTTTGCTGTGCGGCTTGTACCCCGGTGTTTGTAACCGGTCAAGGGTGCCCTCAAGGATGGCTCGGTATCTGTTCGCAAAGACGCCGTCGCGTGCTGTGTCTATCGCCACTTGTGCGGCGGACAATGGTGGACGGGACAAAGCCTCAAATATCAAGATATCTCGCTCCTGGAACCTCCGGTTCATCATCTGTGGTTGAGAGCGGAAGTCCACCAAGGCCGTCCACATTCTGACGGTGTTTTTCTGGCCGGTACCTTAACTCGAAGTTATGAGCTGCTTTACCGACCACCGGGTAATCATCGGCGACAGGTCTTGTGGAACGGGCTTCTCAGCTCCGATGATGCCTAGCAGAGGCTGGTGGTTATGATCACACTCCGCCCTGTGACGTACTGATGGAAATGGATGACCCCAAACACAATGGCCAGGCCCTCTCGGTCTAGCTGAGAATAGTTTTGCTCAGAGCTTCCTAGCGTCCTGGACGCGAAGGCAATCGGAGCCTTTCGGCCATCTGAGTCCAACTGTGCCAGCACGGCACAGTTGACAAGGCATCGACCCGAAATACGTTACACAGAGTACTTAACCTTTTGTATTCTAGCTCATCTTAATGTGCGGCGTAATCATTTAGTTTTTAGCTACAGGTTGTTCCCAAGTGCTATTCGGGCAAGAAAAATCGTGTAAATAAATAAAATAAAAAGATCTGAATGCCATGACACTTTTCCACAAAGACCTTTCCAAGTGGTGCATTTATTATAGACTAAAATTTGAGGAGTGTGGGTCTTAGGAAAAATTGTGAAGCCTAAAAAGTCTCGTTATTTCTTATGCACAGGGAGGGAAACGGTAAAAACAGTTTGACTAACGCTGCCACTCACAAGTGGCGCCACCTAAACCAAAAAGGTGAAGGCTTCTTTGAGATGAACACCAGAGGATCCGGCAGATCCGAACGTGTATGCTACCATCTTTCCTTACTGTGCACGACAAAAATAAAAAAACAATAATTTCAGGCTCACGTTTTTTTGGTTTTTTTTTCTTTTTTTTTTTTTTTGCCGCGGATACTTAGACTTGTAAAATTATAACATGATAAATACAACACCTAAACAACCTTTGAAAAATGTTTGAATGTGTTCCTTTGTTTAGTTTATTTATACAAATATTTATACGCACCAAGAGTGCTCAGATCGAAACACCCTTATATTAATTTCTTCTTCGGTTAATATTTTGCAGATTAAACGTTTTCGTGTTTTTTTTTTTTTTTGTGATATATGCAATATTTTTTAAGCAACCCAAAACCGGGACTTTGTTTTGCTTGTCTTTTTGTCAGCACTAGTTGTTGAACTCTCCACAGCATAACATTAAACGATCCCGAAAGTAGTTGACTGTACTCTACAGCAAAATACTGACCTTCAATTAATACCAAAATCTGAAAAAAAAAAATGCAGTGTACATTTATCGGCTAAAACCGAAAATTTGAAACCCTTGTGATGCACCCCTTTCAAAATTCTGCCCTCTGTTGGAAGCCGCGTGAAGTGCATATAAAATGGGCGGATACGTAACAAAATACACGCATATTGAAACCGCAACATCACAGCACACGTACCGCGTTTGATTAGATTAGCAGACAACGCACACAAACAAAATGGGTAATATACGTCGTGGCGCTGCCCTTACAGCGCTGTTTGATTGCCTCACCTCGTTTCCTGCTAGCGTTGGCTACGCTCCAACGTGGGGTGAAAGGAAATATACAAATGGGGATATCGTCATGGATGAAGGCGAAGAGACAATGAATAATACACTGAAATAAACGTTTCAGGGGGATTCACCCGCTCGTCACTCAATGGGTAAATTTCGCTACACAAACCTGAGTTTGAGGAATGCAGCAGGGTATGGAATATGTTTGTGGTTCACCATGCAGATATGATGAAGGTCGTACGACCCTTTAATTTTTCTCTGTAGCGCTAAAGATTTTTAATAAACTCCAGAAAAATTACCAATTTGACTACCATGTATTTTAAATTTAAGAGCTTGACGGGAAGCTTAAACGTCTCGGTATTTCCTTATTTGTGTAAATAAATTTGATGGGGCATTTTTCGCTACATCTATTTTCAATGGGTTCGACGAGATGGTGGCACCAGCACCAAATACCTTAAGTCAGAGCGTTTGTGGTTGTTGCTCTTTTCACGAACTTGCAGGGACGGCGACTCGCGGCACGAGTCCTTTGCTTGACACCGCCGAGATCAGTTTTGCCGTTTTGTTGGAGAATGGCATGTGTCATTACTTCTGTCTGCTGCACCACACACAAAAAATAGGACCAATGAGAGGCGGCGCATGAATGTACTGATGCCATGACAACGTGCGGTGTCTCGCTGCCACGACCTATGCAGCCAATCTAGCGGTAAAAACTTGCCACGTAACCCCGCTTTCCGCGAGTCCCTAAGTCACACCGAAGAGTCACACGTCCGCAGTAACTTTTTTTGCAAGTGGCATCTACTATTATCAAATACGCCTGCTCACAGCGATAGGCGGTAGGCACGAAAAGAGCGTTTGACCGCGGGACGCGGACGAGCAAGACACTTCAGGTCGGGATGGTTCAGAGGCGAGAGAGAAACTTGAGTTGCAGGATGATTCAATCTTTGACGTCAATGCATTCGAATTCGGCTTTGGGAAATTGTTTTTTTACTGAGTTCCCAAGGTTTGGGGTTTGAAAGTAATTCCAGACATCGTTTTCAATTGTTTCGGATAATAAACAACCTTTGCACTCAGTTGGTGAAGAAGGAAGTTTAGCGAAGCTGTACGCTCGTCCCGTGTGTTTCTTCGTCCTCGTCTGTTTCGTGCGCTGTTTCTTACGATAAATTCTTACCAACTCGCCCAACTGTCCATTCTTCTATGATTACTGGAAAGGTTGCCGTCATCTATGAGCGACGACGGCAACCACACTGGTTTTCTGGTTACCGCCATCACTCATAGATGGCGGTAGCTGTCCAGAGTTTTGTATAGTTTTGTGTCGACATTTGTTTGGTACCGGACACGAAACTGGGGAAAGTAGCCCTCAACATCTCTGCTGCAAAAAAAAAAAACAAATATGATTTTGACCTGTCAGTGTGTAAGGGCGTGAGATCAGATGCCCCAGTGACCGTCCGTCTCCCTGTCCCGGAAGCGCGAACGAGTGCCCCCGAGCCAGTGCCGCAAGGCGCTGGAGAAACGGGCGAGGAGACGGAGGGGAAACCTGATCAACAGCAAGTGCGCAATCAACATGACGCAAGTCCACCGTCTGACGGCAACGACGACAGCGGAATATGGACCCCACGGCTCACATGCCAGACGTCGATGTCGAGATGAGCCAGGGTCGC